CAACTACGTAATACACAAATACCCAAACTATCATTGTCAACTACGTAACACACAAATACCCAAACTATCATTGTCAACTACGTAATACACAAATACCCAAACTATCATTGTCAACTACGTAATACACAATCACCCAAACTATTATTATCAATTACGTAACACACAATCACTTAAACTATAATTACCAAACTCATAACCTCTAGCCACCTAAACTACAATTTCATGCAAGTTATAATTGTCAACTACATAGCACACACTCAACCAAACTATCATTTGCAACTATGTAATACACAAATACCCAAACTATCATTGTCAACTACGTAACACACAAATACCTAAACTATCATTGTCAACAACGTAATACACAAATACCCAAACTATCATTGTCAACTACGTAATACACAATCACCCAAACTATCATTGTAAATTACGTAACACACAATCACCCAAACTATAATTACCAAACTCATAACCTCTAGTCACCTAAACTAAGATTTCATGCAAGTTATACTTGTCAACTACATAGCACACACTCAAACAAACTATCATTTGCAACTACGTAATACACAAATACCCAAACTATCATTGTCAACTACGTAATACCCAAATACCCAACCTATCATTGTCAAATACGTAATACACAAACACCCAAACTGTTCCCGACTTTCAAACTAGACCTTATAGTAGCTAAGTCTTTACAGTACTACTCAGTGTGTATGTGTCCTCAGTAGTAAGAACACCAAACGTCTTCTTTGACACCCTTCTATTGTTTAATATAAAATATCTCAAAGACATAATTTTATCTCACTACAAGATGTAGAATGGATAATCCAATTAGAGCATTTATACAAAGTCTTTATCGGTTTCGTTGTTTGAAAATATTAAACGGTTCTACAATTTTACAGAGCATCAACATGGTTTATACGGTAATATAATTACCGAGATATGATCTACATAATACAATTAAATCTTTTAATATTGAGTTTGACATGAAATGTCCCCCTTAACTGAACATGTTATAACCTAAAGCAAAATAGAACGACATAAAGATAAGTAAAATTCAAGGTTGTTGCGTTCAAATATAAAAGACGACACCTTTAAACGTATTTCCATTACAACGTCACCGAGTACGATCTCCCCACGCACGCGTCGGGACAAGCTGTTTATTTACGTTTATGGTCTCTGACCAGCGTTTGGCTTCATGACTTCATTTCGAGTATCAATGGACACGAAGTGGTGCTGCATTTTCGTACATTTAGAGTCCGTTGTCCAGATTGGATTAAAGATATCTGGAGGGAATTGGCTTGAGGCCGACGAAGCCTTTGAGGCAAGGGCCAAACGACCAGCCTCAGCAGCAATTCTATGACGGTCGATACAGCGGACAGTTTTGTGCCATCCTCAGGGAGATCGGCTAATCTCATTTGGTAGTTTATTGAATTTATCGTTACATATTGAACATATTCATGGTTGCATGGTTTTAGCAGCTGACAAACCTATGATTGGATGCTGTCTATTAAAAATGGTCGGTATAAAGGTCAATGGAAGTTGTTTATTTACCATGAACCCCTTCACTCCGGAGCTATCAGACCAAGGAGATACATCAACACACTTGTTGAGCTAGCGTGGTTTATAATGAAAAAGAATATGTTTACTGACAGATCATTTGTCATTCTGTGCAAGCAGAAAGTACGTCGTCTTATTCACGGTAGAACACTATCAGGAAAACACAGATACAATTAAGACACACTTCAGAGAACACTTACATTGAATAAACCATTGTTTGAAAAATCAATAAATCAATAAATCAATAAATCAATAAATCAATAAATCAATAAAGATATGTAAATAAATAAAATAAAACGGCGTTAATATCAATATGTTACTACATTTTCAGCTAACTATTAAAGTATGCAATTTCCCCTCAAATTGTATCTAACAGCATACATATTGATACTTTATTTTCCTGGATATTGAAACTTAATATAAAACCAACATTACACTACACTCCAATTCATTGCGTTACAACCCCTTGGCGCAAGTAACCATGACATTTGAAAGCAATTAAGAAAGAAAATCACGGCGAATTGTTTTATCCCCGAAGCCAACTACACAATTCATCCCCAACCTTTTTTTACCGCATAAAGCATGACTGCTTTGGATAGTCACTTGTTTAGCATTGCCTGCGGCATATATTGTCCTTGTAGTCAACTTTTACAAACTCATGAACGTGATTCACAATGACATCAACATCAGGCAACCAACAGCTAACGGTTAGACACATGTACTCCTGGCTTTGTTGGTCATAAATCTATTTGCAACACACTAACGACAGAATGATCATACTTACAAGTGTAATTAGTGTACACTACCGGTAAAAGTCCTACCACTTAAGTATCAAC